GCAGCGCCTTCTCCTCTTGTCTGTCCGAGTCTTGTATTGTCCGTCGGTGAGCAGTGCTCACACATAGCCGAGCTCCATCAGCCATTACGTCACGCATTGATCCGCTCATGATCGTCGTCGATGAATGACCGAGGCGGACGACCGTGGCGCGGCGTGGCGGCCTGAGCCTGTGCGAGTGCACCGGGTGCACGAGCTCGAGCAGAGACGGCGTCCGGAACTTGGAGTAGCCTAGCCGCGCGCAGCGGCCGGTGAAGAGACGCAGCGACGCCTCGTTGGACTTGTCGGTGGCCATGTACGCGTACCCGGCGCCGGCCCATGAGCGCGAACCACTGCTCCAGCTTGCCGCACCAGCTGCAGTGCGATGCCCATCCGCCTGCATGGTGCATGCACACGCCACGCATTTTTACTAGTACTAGTTTAGCTTCTCTTGACAATACAGCAGCATTACATTGATCAGTCGATCGATGCAACAATGTGGACTAGTGATTCATGCTTGATGATACAGCAACGAACTTTACCTGTGGGAAGGCGACACGCGGAGGCCTGGAATGTACTAGCCGATTTTGGCGAAGGCGGGTGCGCCAGGGCGGCTCTTGCCGGAGGCGACGGACTTGATGGTTCCCCGGATGAGGCCGGCGATACGTCCCGGACGTCGTCTCAGCGACCTGTTCATGTCGAGATCACCCTGCACCAGCAAATTGAACGAAGATGTAAACAATGCAAATTAACTATCTTAACGATGCCTATATATTTTGACTGGTGCAACAAATAATGGCTATATATTTTAACTGAAATTTTATATTGTTGTTTAGTATGTTAACGATCTCAAATGAAAAAAAAAACTTAAAACTATAAAATTGTAGATTTTATTGAAAGTTACAACTTTAATATAAAAAGTATCTACATTTAACACCATACAAGAAAGATATAATTTTTTCTATGACGTCAAGTGCTTGTAAGCGATTAATATGGTGCTGAAACTTTATATTATTTTTTGATCATCTCAATGACCTCAAATGAAAAAACTTAAAATTATAAAGTTGTAGATCTCATTGAGAGCTACAACTTTCATATAAAAAGTATCTCTATTTAACACCATACAAGAAATATATGAGTTTTTGAGGCGACAATCGCTTTACGCGGTTAATATGCTAATAAAACATTGTGGGGGTATGACATCCGGTATCCTCAAGACAAGACATGGGCCGCATCATCAGAGGTGGCTCAGCCTACAAGATCAAGGCGTGCACGACGCTGCTCGATGTGCACCGCAAGACATTATATAGTACAAAATAGGATACTTACCTTGTAACCCTACCCCTCCAGAGTATATAAGGAGAGGCAGGGGTCCCCTAGCGGATAGGATCCATCAGGATCTATCTACTACAGATCAATACAATACACCAAAGACACATGACGTAGGTTATTACGTCGATCAGACAGCTCGAACCTGTCTAAATCGCTGTCTCTGCGCCTTGTGTCACCATCTGGTTCCTGATTACGCGCACCCCCACCGATAAATCTACCATCGTGGGATACCCCTCGGTGGACTGTCGAGCATCTTTTGTCGACAAACATTGTATTTTTTTAACCATCTTAATGACCTCAAATTTAAAAACTCAAAATTAGAAAGTTGTAAATCTCGTGAGCTAAAATTTTTATATAAATATAATCTTTATCCAAAATCGTATGAAAAAAGATATGATTTTTCTTGCCGTGTCAACGAGAGTGGCATAGCAAGGTTTTCCAGCTGGAAAATCATTGTCCACCGTGGCAGATCGTGTCACGCCGATGCATGTTTTGACTGCGCCATGGAGATTGGCGTGGCCAAATGGTTTAGAAATAGAAATAAAAGTGGTGTATTTAAAAAAACAAAATTTGAATTTGAAAAAGGTTAAAAATAAAAAAATGCTGCCGTTTGGTCGTGATGCCCTGCTGCCCGTTGCTGGTTGCTAGCAACTTAACAGCCTAAGAACGAGAACGTGGACACATTCCATGTTCCGAGAACATCATTCCAATCCGTGGAACGAAAACATGATGGAATATCGTTCCGAACACTGATGGAACGTGATCCACACCACGGGAACCACAATTGGCCACTGAAAGCTCTAGTTTGATTTTTTGATAATTGATGAAACCTTAAGACTAATCCTTGTACTAAATATTTAGACATGAAAGGATGGTCTTATGCCAAGTGGTGGAGCTAGATGATGGTCATGGTAATGGTGAAGACCAAACTTGAAGATCAAGTGTTCAACTTGAAAAATAAGAAAGAGAAAACAAAAATAAGGTTGATCAAGTCAAATGTATCAATTAGGTTTTTGTTTTGGCACTCAAGACACCATAGAAGGTGTGAGTGTATTTAGGATCGATAGCCGTACTATATAGAGAGAAATTCTTTGGTTAAGCGATTTATTGATTGCCACTAGATGACATGACTCTTGCATATGCATTAGGGACCTAGTGTGCTAACAACTAACCCTTAAAAATATGCTTGGAGAAATGCTAACACACGTGCACATAAGTTCTACACTTTGTGGTTAGCAACTTAGAAGTAAGGATGAAGTGGTTGTGGACTTATAAAAAAAAAAGGAGGCGAGGGTGCCTGACCGGACGCTGGTCACGGGTTGACCGGACACGTCCGGTGGCAAACCTTAGGTCTTGGTCAGCGGTGGCGAGCTGACCGGACGCTGGGATCGGACGCCGCTGGTGCGTCCGGTCAGTTGTTCCTGAGGAGACGCATCACGACGTGGCGAGCAGACCGGACGCGCAGGGCATACGCCAGGTCACGGCTGACGTACGCTGGCGTCAGCATCGCGAGCGCGCGTAGAGGAGCTGAGTGTTGACCGGAGACAAGGGCGCGTCAGGTCGACTTCGAGCGGACGCGTCTGGTCACAGAAAAACGTCTCTGGTGCCTTACTGGACTCGACCGGACTCTGCGTGGCCCTGAGTCCGATCACTTTGAGCAGCGCGTCTGGTCACAACTTAACACGCGAGCAATCTACTAAGTGACCATTGGAGATGAGTGGCTGGCATTCAAAGGCGGGACGCGTGGCGTCCATCAAGCGACCGGACTCACCTCGATCGGACACAGGGCAGTGTCCGGTCGTAGCATCCGGTCAGGCCTACGATAGGCCAACGACTCTTTGAACCATGGGGCTCTATTTAAAGGGGTTTATCGGCTTGGGGCTTACTCTCTTGGCACTGTGACAATCTTGACATTCTTGTGAGCCTAAGCAAACACCTTTCACTCATTTCCATCATTAATTCATCGTCATAGTGAGATTGTGAATGATTCCTAGTGCATTTACTTGAGTGATTGCATCTATTGGCACTTGAGGATCGTTGTGGCTGCGGAGTTCTTGTTACTCTTAGTGGTTGCCGCCACCTAGATGGCTTGGAGCAGCGGATGAGCATCGACACGTGTTGGTAATTGTTCGTGGCCGGCTTCAGTGACTGTGAGTGATCTTGTACCTTCCTCGGTGGAGAGCCGAAAGGTAACTCTAGTGGATTGCTCGTGTCATTGAGTTACATCATATGTGAGTAGGTTCTTGCGATGTCCATTTGTTGGACTAGGTTTGTGCAACACCTATTAGTCGCCGAACCACTAAGTGTTGATCGACACAACGGGGACTAGTGTACCGACAAGCACGTGAACCTCGGGAGAAAAATTGATTGTCTCTTGTGCATTGAAATTCTCCCGGTAATTGGATTGACTTCATATTGTGATTGGTTCATTCCTCGACACGACGGTATAATCACCCTACTCACTCTCTTACATTTCTTGTAAACTGGTTGTCAATCTCTTTAGTATAGTTAGTCTTTGAGAGCTTGTTAGTTTGGTTAGTGTGACTCTTTAGTTAGTCTTTGAGAGCATACTAGCTTAGTGAGTAGTGACTTAGCTCTTGTGTTTGTCTAGTGATCATAACAACTAGAATTGTTAGGATAGGTGGCTTGCAACCATTTTATAACTAGAGCAAAATTGTATTACGTCATTTGTTATACTAATCAATTGTTTTAGTGCTTTGTAGAGTTTTTTAAATAGGCTATTCACCCCATCTAACCATATTAGGACCTTTCAGCCACTTGATGAAAATATGAGGCCCTAAATTCAACTTATGGACGAAGAAAAAGAGGAGAGGCTGCATGACGAGTTCAGCTATCTATTTTATCTTTATTATTATTTTAGAATTTTCTAAGTTTTATGTAAAATGAAAACTTGTGCTAATTAAGTCATTTATGATATCAACTAATTTAATTAGGATCATGTCTATCATTCCGAGAACACGTTCTGACTACACTTGCTACGTGTCCCAGACTTAAGAAACGTACAACGTACCCGTACCATGACCCCAACAAAGTCTTTCTGTAGGAGCGACAGAGAAAAGTCTTTTTTTATTATTAATTTAATATTCTTTCTGTATATGAATAAATTTGTTCTTTAAATTACCTGAAGTTCTTTTTATATTTGACTGAATTTTTAGAAAAGACAACAGATGTTTATGAAAATATATTTTATGGCATATTTGATGATACTAATTTGTAACATAAGTCTTTACATTTTTTTCTTAAATTTGGTTAAATTTAAAAAATGATTTAATAAGAAAACTTAAACTACTAGCAATTTTATTCTAAAAAAAACTACTAGCAATTTTATTGGGCTAGAATTCTAAGATCGGTCCATGAACTTCGGATACCCATTTGCCTGGATATGCGATTATCCCAAATTCCCAAGTAGCCAAATGTGGCCTAATCGAACCGAAGCGGGCCAGGCCAAATTCTTTTCCGAATCGATCAGTCTTAACTCTTAAGTCCTACTGGACTCATAAATTAACACATTACACTGTCGAGGGCCTATCCATAAAACTCACGGCCCCACTAGTTGGAGGCTGCAACTCGGACTAGCACTCGGCCCCGTCTCGAGCCCAGACGCAGACGGCCGCAAAAACGCCAGCGGCGGAGCACCAGGTCGTCGATCCCCGAGCATAGGCCCGCCGGCGATGGAGAAGGGAAAGGGCCTCGCTCGCCGCTGGGCGGTCGAGCTCCCCGACGCCTCCTCCTCCTCCCCCGTCGTCCCCGACCCGCCCGGCTTCATCAGATCCGCGCCCGACGCGGTAACCCCTACTCCTCCCCGTTCGTCCTTTTCGCTGCTTTGCTCTGTGTCCCGCACGCAATTCACGTGCCTGCTCTGGCTCGCAGGACGCCGCCGCCGGTGCGCGCCAGCGCAAGGACTCCGAGACTGCATGGAAGGCGCAGGTTCGTTCGATCGGTACCATATTTGTGCTTGGTCTAGTAGATCCAGGCCGCGGTCAGCGCGACCTGCCCGCTACGATAACATATCGTACAGTTTCTTAAGAGCTCAGATCTTGATAACTTTGCCGTCCTCAGTGATTATCTAGAGTTAGCGTCTACGTAGTTCTAGGCTTTGGAATTGCTATCTAACTGTGTGTGCTCCCTGATGTGAGCAGAAAGCTTGGGAAGTCGCGCAGGCACCGTTCAAGAACCTGATGATGATGGGATTCATGATGTGGATGGCAGGGAGCACCGTCCACCTCTTCAGCATCGGGATTACCTTCTCTGCTCTGTGGCAACCCCTCAACGCGCTCCGATCCGTTGGGAAAGGTACTGCTTTTATGGTTTCACCCAAGTGATATGATCTATCTTCGGCTTGCAAATCCGTGCCACTTTAGGACTGTTTTATGGGCAACTTGTATATATTATGTATTTAAGCCCATACTTAGCAATTTAGCTTAGCTTAGCTGAGCTACAAAGGCACTCAATGTTATCCACGGACTGCCATCTAACTTCTTTTAAGCCTTCATGTTCAAGTTAAATCATTTAGGAACATGCACCACTTGATGTGTGCTCTGAGTCATTCTGGATGTGCAAGTAACTTCTAGGTGTGCATTTTAGTTTTGACAAATAAGACGATGTTTTATGCTTGTAACCCTTGTACAGTTTGTAAATCATACACAACATTAATCATTCCTAAAAGGCTGAATTGAGTTCCTGTGAATTATTATGTTTACTAGTTCTGTAACGTATGTACTATTGCAAATTTGCAATTCAGAAAAGAATGTGTGCCAGAAGCAGGTCATAAGGGTACCTTTTATGCTGCTGCTCATAATAGCATCACTGTGAACTTGGTGAATGAATAGCATAAAGCACAGCCATATCATGGGATGGCTAAAATTTTCGTGATTGGCTTTCTGCTTTTCTCTAGTAATACACTTTTCCAGGACATCATTGTGTTCTCTTCAGTCTTCAGTTGGTGCATTTTTTTCATATTTGGTATGCCCACATAAAAGAATGCAATGTTAGTTTCACTTTAAGGCTTATTGAAAGCTGAAAATTCTGCACATACAAATTGACTTAGGAGTCTCCAATGCAGTGCAATAAGGTTGTCTTATTCCCTAAATCTTATTTGAAATACTTTAATATTATTTGCAATAGTGCATCTAGTGTAACAATAGCCACATATTTCACTTATATGCTGCTTTGGTTCGTTATGTTAGTCAGCACATGGAACTACAGATAAGAACAGAATTGGCTTAATGCAGTGTGTGTTGAAATGCAATTAATCATGCCAAATTATTTTCTTTTGGTCCATAATGTGGTCAGCTATGGGTGTGCTTTATGAAGGGAAGTGAATGGATAAAATTGCAAATAAAAAACTATAACAAGATGACCAATGTGGTTTGATCAATATGGAAAGGGCATTTCTTCTGTCAAGCTCCATATTTCTGAAGTTCTCTTGGAAACAGGAAATATACTAGCTTGGCATACTTCATTTGATTTCTTAGGTCCAATCAAGCATATATTGTAGTCATTCCAAACTGAGTGATATTCTTAGTTTCTAAGCAATTTAGCATTGAGTATTTTCTTATAAACAGTTGTTCTCTTTGCAGTTTTTGAACCATTTAAGGACCCAAGGGTGGATACTATTGCTCCTAAGTTACTCTTTATTGCCCTCAATTTAGCTGCCATGGGTTTGGGTGTATGGAAGGTGAGCTCTTTTACATGTCTAGTTATACATAATTATCTTGTATTTCTCTAAGCATTTGAAGTTCTGATATAACTGCTTCTACAGCTTAATACATTGGGCCTTCTTCCAACAAATCCATCAGATTGGGTATCTTCACTGGCTCCTGCTCGGGTATGCTTCTGATAGCCTTACACCATACGAACTAAATTCCCTGACTTCAGTGTTTAGGGCATGTTTGCATACCATGAGCTAATTTTAGCTCAAATTAGCTCTAGCGCGTCCAAACAGGAGAGCTAATAGGTGGGTTAATTTTTCGACTCGTTGTTAGCCAACCATAGCTAATTGTGGCTAATATTTAGCCCAACTAGTAACTAGCCATGTGTATCCAAACATGCCCTTAGTGTTGACATTGTTCACTCATCTTTAGGTTTTTGATGATAGTTTCAAAGATTTCTTCGCTTTAATAATTGTTAGTTGGATACTGTAAGTAACAGTGTGTAACTCTGTATTACCTAAACTGGTATTAGTCGTTAATAGTTGCTTGCACTGGTTTTGATATCAGATGGAACATAGTCTCATCTGTGTCACAATGCACCTTTGGCACTATCTATGAACTGCCTGAAAATCATGTAATTGGGCAGTCCTAGAGAATACAACAACAACATAGCCTTTCAGTCCCAAGCAAGTTGGGGTAGGCTAGAGTTGAAACCCACCAAGAGCCCCAAGTCACGGTTCAGGCACTTCAATAGCTGTTTTCCAAGTACTACTATTCAAATATAGATCTTTAGGTATATCCCAAGCTGTCAAATATCTTTTTATTGCCTCTCCCTATGTCAATTTCGGTCTTTCTCTACCTCTCCTTATATTATTAGCTTTGCTTAGGACTCCACAATACACTGGTGCCTCTGGAGGTCTCCTTTGGACATGGCTAAATCACCTCAACCGATGTTGGACAAGCTTTTCTTCAATTGATGCTACCTTTAGGCGATCACGTGTATCGTTCTGAACTCGGTCCATTCTTGTGTTACCGCAAATCCATCGCAACATACACATTTCTACAACACTCAGTTGTTGAACATGTCGAATCTTTGTAGGCCAACATTCTGCTCCATACAACATAGCCGGTCTAATCGTTGTTCTATAGAACTTGCCTTTTAGTTTTTGTGGTATCCTCTTGTCACAGAGAATGCCAGAAGCTTGTCGCCACTTAATTCACCCTGCTTTGATTCTATGGTTAACGTCCGCATCAATATCTCCATCCCTCTGTAGCATCGATCCCAGATAACGAAAGATATCCTTTTTAGGCACTACTTGACCTTTCAAACTCACATCTCCCTCCTCCTGTACAACGCCGCCAAAGTCGCATCTCATGTATTCGGTTTTAGTTCTGCTCAATCTAAAACCTTTAGACTCAAGGGTCTGCCACCATAACTCTAGTTTTCTATTTACTCCCGCCTGTCTTTTGTCTACTAACACTACATCATCAGCGAACAACATACACCAGGGGATATCCCCTTGTATGTTCCTGGTAACCTCATCCATTACTAAGGCAAGGAGATACGGGCTTAAGGTTGACCCTTGATGAAGTCCAATTTTAATCGGGAAGTAATCTATGTTACCATCGTTTGTTCGAACACTAGTCACAACATTGTTGTACATGTCCTTGATGAGGGTCACGTTCTTTGATAGGACTTTATGTTTGTCCAAAGACCACCACATAACATTTCTTGATATTTTGTCATAAGCCTTCTTCAAGTCAATGAAAACCAAGTGGAGGTCTTTCTTCTGCTCTCTAAACCGCTCCATAACCTGTCTTATTAAGAAGATTGCTTCTGTGGTTGACTTTTCGGGCATGAAACCAAAATGGTTTGTTGATATCTACGTCGTTCCTCGCAGGCGCTGCTCGATGACTCTCTCCCATAACTTCATAGCATGGCTCATCAACTTAATTCTTCGATAATTAGTACAACTTTGGATATCTCCCTTGTTCTTATAGATTGGTATTAATATGCTTCTTCTTCACTTCTCAGGCATCTTGTTCGATCGAAAGATATTGTTGAACATCTTGGTTAGCCATACTATAGCTATATCCCTGAGACATCTCTACACCTTCAATGGGATACCATCAAGGCCCATTGCTTTGCTCCCTTTCATCCTTTTTAAGGCTTCTCTGACCTCTGATTCTTGAATCCTCCGCACAAAGCGTCTGTTAGTGTCATCAAACGAGTCGTCCAGCTGAATGGTGACGTTCTCGTTCTCATCATTGAACAATTTATCAAAATACTCTTGCCATCTATGTCTGATCTCATCCTCCTTTACCAAGAGCTGCTCCTTTTCATCCTTTATGCACTTGACTTGGTTGAAGTCCCTTGTCTTCTTATCGCGAGCCCTAACCATCCTATAAATGTTCTTCTCTTCTTCCTTCGTACTCAAACGTCGGTAAAGGTCCTCATAGGCCCGCCCCTTTGCCTCACTCACCGCTCGTTTTGCAGTCTTCTTTGCCACCTTGTACTTCTCTATGTTGTTTGCACACCTGTCATGATACAAGCGCTTATAGCACTCCTTTTTCTTAATAGCCTTTTGCACATCTTCATTCCATCACCAAGTGTCTTTCGAGTTGCATCTGCTCCCTTTGGTCACTCCAACGACCTCTGAAGCAACCTTCCGAACGCATGTTGCCATCTTCTCCCACATGCTGTTTGCATCGCCTTCATCATTCCAAATGCTCTCTTCAATGACCTTTTCCTTAAAGACCTTCGATGCCTCCCCTTCTAATTTCCACCACTTCGTTTTAGCAACCCTAGCTTGTTTGTTCCCACGAGCTTTCACCAGAAAGCGGAAGTCAGCCACCACCAGCTTGTGTTGAGCGACCACACATTCTTCAGGTATCACCTTACAGTCCACGCATGTTTGTTTATCCCTCCTTCCTGTAAGGACAAAGTTGATTTGACTAGAGTACTGGCCGCTATTAAAGGTCACTAAATAGGACTCTCTTATGGAAAAAAGTGTTAGCTATCATCAGATCAAAAGCTATGGCGAAGTCTAAGACTTCCTCTCCCTCCTGGTTTCTACTACCATATCTGAAACCCCCATGAACCGCCTCGAAACCTGCACTTGATGTACCTACATGACCATTAAGATCACCTCCTATAAAAAGTTTCTTGGTAGTAGGGACAGCTCTAACCAAGCGATCTAAGTCTTCCTAGAAAAACCGTTTAGCACTCTCATCATGGCCTACTTGGGGCATACGCACTAATTATGTTTAAGACCATATCACTAATGACAAGTTTAACTAAGATGATCTTATCCCCTTGCCTTCTCACCTCCACCACACCATCCTTGAGGCTCTTATCAATCAAAACTCCTACTCTATTTTTATTTGAAGTTGTCCTAGAGAATATTTGTTTGAAAACATTGTGAGGCTGTTTCTTTTCTGCACAATTAAAACGAAACTTTGCCAGAATCATACGTGATTGCTGGTTGTAGTATGGAACTGATTTAGCTGATCTGACTACTTGTATAGTTGTATTGCCAGTGAAACATTTTGTTAGAGTGCATGCTTGCTTAATGAAATTAAATGTGATAATCTTGCCATGATGACTAAACCCAAACTTTAATATGTGAGCCGAATGTAATCCATGACCCAGCTTATATTGGTTGCCTAAATTGGTTTCTTTCTCTTTCTTTTGTTTCATATTTCAGGAGGTTGAATATGCCGGAGGAGGGGTCCCCTTAATTTAATGTCCATTTCCACTTTTGAACTTGTTTTACTAGATGTAATATTACATCAATACCGAGTGAAATTTTACCCTGCACTCCTGAATACACGAGAAGTGCAGTTTTTTTGTCTGTGGATTTGTACTAATATATTTTCTAGATGCGGTTGTATCGAATTTGCGACCGTGCAGCAAAGTTGCAGGATGTCCACTGGACAGTAACAGACAAGCAGGTTTATTATAGATAGTTTGTTCATTTCCCTTGGTTCCTTTGCTACCCTTGTTTCAGAAAAGAAAGAATCTGTTGCTGCTTAATTTCAGCAGCCGCTAGCTGATTCCACATGCATCTGCTGGATAATTTTCTGGCGCTCCATGCATGCAATGGCCATATCCATGAATAGGCAACGGAATAATCCCAGCTTGTCTCCAAGTATAGGCAGCACCCAAAGCCGGCAAGCAGGCGTTAGCCACCATGCATCTTCCCTTCTACTCCTAGCTTGTCTCCTGGCCCTCCGCCCCTCCATTGCTGCGGCCTTTATGTAGCCCTTGGCCTTCCGCTCCTTCGCCTCCTTTCCCCACCATTCCCATGGTGGCCCCCCTCGCCTCCTAAACCCTTCACGCACCATCTCCGAGGACCAGGGCGGCCACCACCTACCCCGCTACGTGTTCATTCGCCACTGCCACCTGCGTCGCCGGCAGCCCCAGTCGGCCGGCCGCCTTCGGTCCTTGCGTGGCCCCTCTCCGGCGGCGCCATACAATACAATGCCTTCAAATTGTGCCATAGTAGTAGTTATCGCCATCTTTGTTGTTGTTATCCTCAGCGCCAGCCACGCGGTCACCGGCGCCCGCGTTGGCACCATGATGATCCGGCAGCCTTCCTCCGTCCTCATGTTCAGGGAGGCACCCGCTTTCCGGAACGGCCCCGAGTGCGGCGCGGCGGACGGCGACGGTCGGGTGGACATCGCCATGACGCTGGACGCCAACTACCTCCGCGGCACCATGGCCGCGGTGCTGTCCATCCTGCAGCACACGGCGTGCCCCGAGAGCGTGGCGTTCCACTTCCTGACCGCTGACGCCGACGACCATGGCCTCGCCTCCGCGCTGCGCGCCTCGTTCCCGTTCCTCGACCTCCGGGTGTACCGCTTCGACCCGTCGCGCGTCCGCGACCGCATCTCCCGGTCGGTGCGGCAGGAGCTGGACCAGCCGCTCAACTACGCGCGCGTCTACCTCGCCGACACGCTCCCGCCCGACGTGCGCCGCGTCACGTACCTCGACTCCGACGTGATCGTGGTGGACGACGTCCGGACGCTGGCGTCCGTCGACCTCGCGGGCCACGTGGTGGCGGCGCCCGAGTACTGCCACGCCAACTTCAGCAACTACTTCACGGACGCCTTCTGGTCGCACCCGGCGCTCAACGGCACCTTCCACGGCCGCCGGCCCTGCTACTTCAACACGGGCGTCATGGTCATGGACGTCGACAAGTGGCGCGCCGGCGGGTACACGCGCCGGGTGGAGGAGTGGATGGCCGTGCAGAAGCGCCGCCGGATCTACCACCTCGGCTCGCTGCCGCCGTTCCTGCTCGTCTTCGCGGGCCACATCCGGGCGGTGGACCACCGGTGGAACCAGCACGGGCTCGGTGGCGACAACGTCGAGGGCCGCTGCCGGGGTCTCCACCCGGGCCCCATCAGCCTCCTTCACTGGAGCGGCAAGGGTAAGCCCTGGCTCCGGCTCGACGCCCGGCGGCCGTGCTCCGTCGACTACCTCTGGGCGCCCTACGACCTCTACCGTTACTCGTCGCCGCTGATCGACGAGTGGTGACTGGTGAGCCGTGACGTGAGCATGCACCACCTCCACCTGAGGAGCTACTAACAATGGTAGGACAGTTCGATCTTGCAGATCGAGGGGAAGAAGCATAACAATGCATGCATGGA